TACACAAAAAACACTAATTTATTTTATGGATTTCTAATTGATATCTTAAAGACAGTACCTGACTTTAAATTTGAATGAACAATTTTAATTCATTATAAAAACGTTTAATTAATAGTAAATTGTCTACATTATGTCTAATTTTTATCGTTGTTTAAACATTGAACATTGGATGTTATGTTTTGCTGTTATTTTATTAATTGCAAGTGACCTGATGCAAAATTTTCAACATTAAAAAGAGATTTTTTCTGAAAAAATGTTAAATAATTGACGACGAGAACGCTAAAAAATAATTTGCTCAAATAACAATCGTCAAGATGGTGTTTGGTTCACCACAAAAAATTTTTTATGCTTAGTTTCAACTTGTTAGGCCTTCATTGTTAATAAGTTCATGGAACATCGCCTGGAATATGCACTTGTGTCGATGTTAAATACGATATGTTTAACTAAAGTAATAAATATCAATTAAATCTGTTAATAAACACATTCATTAATAGTGAGATACAAATTTCTACTGACATGTAAGATGACTTAAAATTTAGCTACCTTCAAAATTTTGCCTCCTCGCTGATGTGCCAATTCGAGAAGAAATGCCTCGTTGCAGTCAGTCAGCAATAAAGATTCGATGTTTATCGTTTTACTGTTTTCCAGATTTAATGTTTTTGCTCTGATAATAAAGCATGCATGTTAACAGTTGAACGGCAACACTGCGCAGTGTATGGCCGATCGCCTGAGAGCTTTTAATAAATTATCCGAAAACACGTATAAGTGTGTGCTCGCACTTGCATATATTACGCATTTTTAAGCACACATATTTGCATTCTCCATGGATGTATGTAAAGATCTCTCTTCTCAGTTTGCATCATGTGTGCTATTTTTATTCCTTTGTGATGTGCGTTGTTGAACGCCAGCAAGTCAGCGCATACGCGTGTGAGAATATTATATAAGAATGTCTTCGGGCACAAATATGTGCCTCGCTTACACACTATCAACTCTATACGTACGTACATGCATATATATATATATATAAATATATGCATGTATAAATTCATTGGAATGCAATGAATATTTGAACAAGTTTTAAACGTTGTGCCAATAATGCTTGCGAGCTAGCACGCATTTACTTAGATATATGTTTATGTTGCGTTTATGTCGCAATGTTGTTAACACACACACACACACACATACACACACACACACACAAACACATACACATACACACACACATACAGAGAGTAGGTGTGTGATTACGTAATGCGATCCAGCATCCAGACATCCAAACTAAAAACTTATATAATGTTTCAGTCTGTTAGTTACTGGCATATAACTTGTACAGAACATCATCCTACAAGCAGTTTCTTGACAGTGCTCTTTCATTGTGGTGATCTAGGAAAGCTGTACGCCACTCTCTACGTTCGATTATATTCCAACAATTGAAGGATTTAAAATGGAAAAGAATGTAGTAGATTAATACATGACAGATATTATTTTATACACAGTTTTGTTTTAGACCTGATGTTAAAAAAAATCCGAATGCAAATTCAATGTTAAACCAAATTAACAATTTTATTTCTTGTCTGTCAATATTTATTTTTAATGCCACAACGCGGAGAAGCTGCTTGGTTTTTGTTTTAAAATTTGGAAATGCAGCGTAGCATTAATTTAAAGATTGAGTTGGTGCGAAATGAATGGCGAGTCCACTGCATGCAAATCAACGCTAAATATTGCAGGGTCACTTTTGACAATAAATTTTTTGAAAAGTAGCGTTATTTAAATATTGAAATGAAAATTTCATTTAAAATATATCTAAAAAGTATAATCCCAAACTATAAATAGAATTTTAATGGTCGGTTTGCATCCGGATGCCACAGAACAAATTCAATGTAAAGTTGATAGAGTGAAATAAAATAAAAATATGCCGGCTGTAAAAGTATTTAATGAATTTAAAAAGAATTTTAATTGCTTTTTAGTTTAATTGATGTTTTCCCATATCCCACCTGATCCTAACTTAACTACTGTTTGAATTTTACCTGACAATAAATTCAGGTGTGGATAACTTTGACAAATAAATTAGTTCTGTTTGTAGGACAATGCATCTGCTGCCGCGGTCGACGATGGATGGTTTCATTTGTACGAAGAGCGGAAGAATAAATTTTCTGTAATGTTAGTTAATTAAGTTAGCTGGCGGTACTGACTGTCAACCGTTTCAATTAAAAATTAATTTGTTTAATTTGGAACGACATCTTTCTAATGTTTATAAAAACAACACTCCTAATTAATATCGACCTATAAAATAACGACAACAGCTTCGTGGAAAGAATTATTTCGAATAAACTCAGTAGATGCTGAGTTGGGGAAAATAATTAAATAAATGTGCTATGTGGTAATGCAAGGTGAATGTATGTATAGAGTGAATGTATTTTCATTGCAAGTTGGTTATATAAGATGGTTGAATGTATCGTGAATTGCGCACAGATGACGGCTGAATGTAAAGTGAATTGGATGTTCATGATGGTTGAATGCATGCATGGATCGATCGTACATGATACTTGATTGTACGGTAAATTGAATGTGTATTGTACTAGATTGGATGTACATAATGGTTGAAAGCATAGTGAACTGGATGTACACGCAGAGCCAATCTACCTGAAACTTTGCTCACCTGTTACGATAACGTGCTACAAACGAGCACTTGAAGGTTTGAGCAGAAGTTTCAGATCTGCTGACTTTTGCGCCTTTTCCGAAATTTCTTTATCTCTCATAATTCAAAATGCTGAAGAATCGAGTGAAACGGTATAGGAAAGTAAACAAAAAGCAAAACCGAACGAAACGAACAAAATTTTACCTGCGTCGGCCTGTCTACACATATTTATTATAGATATCTGATTTCTTACGTTGCGGTGTTTTTTGTTATTAGCGGTCGAAATTCATTTCAGGTGCCACTTTAAGAATATTTTCAATACATCGATTCAAAAAAAAAATTTAATGTTAACATTGAAGTTATTAAATATTTTAAATATTAGTAATAATATTTCAAAAAATATAATTTTAAACTAGAGATACTATTTACCAAACTCTGTCGAATGAAAATTGAAACATGTTGAATTAAAGAAAGTTGAACTTTAGTGTGCTCCACTGCCTCCAGTTAGACGGGAACGTGCAGAAAGAATTGTTAAATTTTTATTTAACATGTTTTGAATTTTTACAAACTTTATTGACTTATTAAACCAGGTTTTAACCAGTTGTAATTTAATAACATATCAACATTCGAAGAAATAGAAAAATTAAAAAGTAAAAATTCATTGCCAATTTTCTGCGTTAGAAATTACAGAACCAAATGATCTAGATTCAAGTGTTATAAGTATATAAGAGCATGTATTTTTTTGTTATAAAAATCAAAAAACGGAGAAAACATATAAAAAAATGTTTGATTTACGCCTGAACGCACAAAACAAACGTGGAAAAATTCTTTCAAATAAATTGAAACATTACTTTTTCAAAATAAATTTCGTAAATCAAATCAAGGAAAAATGTTCAGTTGAAAACAATGAAACAGCCACAGTAGGAGAAGCGGCAGTCTGTATGTAAAAAGGGGAATGTGACAGAACGGGAAGTAAAATAAATTATTTGCATTTGTAAGTTTATACGTGTGAGATGCTTTCACTGTTCACGTTTGTGTGTATATGTATGTTTGTTTATGTATGTGTGTGTGTTTGTGTACGTATATTGTTTGTATGTATGTGTTTGTTCATTTCATGTATCTATTGATGTTTAGATATGTATGTTTGTGTTTGTTCATGTGTGCGTGCGTGTGTGTGTGTGTGTACATTTTCAGAACTAGTACAATGTGAGTGAATAATTGTGTAGATGCAGTGTGTCAAATGCATGCAGATTTGCACGTGTTGTATAACTTGATGTGGAACAAAACAACTGCTACCGATGCCACGCACCTGTTCCTGCTGTGATCCCGCGGCGAACACGCGGCAATCAGAGCAAGGAATTGAGCTGGGTCAGTGGAAGGAGGTGAAACTGAAGAGATTTGTAGACCGGAAGTCGTCTGCTCTGCTGAGGCCAGCCACACTGGTGCCACCTGGTGATAATGATGATAGCGATGACGGTTCGGTGATGATGATGATTACAGTAGCGACAATGATGATGGAGACGACGTGACTGAATGGCAGTGATGATAATGGTGACTGTAATGAAGTTAGTAAAGATGGCAAAAATGATGCGGATTGTGGGATGTATAAAGAGGAATATAAGGAAACTACTGAGCAGGAGAACGAAGCTTATGTAGCAATGGTTACCGCGTAATAGAGTTAACGTTAGGATGATGAGTGGAGAAACAACTGGAGAAGCTACAATGGAGAGCAAATAGATGAGCATGGTGGAGATTATTTCAATAACAACATGCGCTGCTCGATGGCCTGTAGTTTACGATACAAACGATGGCAGCGATGGTCGCAGAGACGCTGGTTGCCGACCGCATCGACTTTGCAAGATTTTTTTTACCTTGCCAGTAAAATGAAGCGAATAATTTTGGAATGTGTTCACCTTGTTGTCAAATATGATTCTCACGCACAACCAACTTGCGAGATTGTCGTGAACTTTATGATGAACTCGTACGAATTTATACATAGATGCAATCCATACGAACCAAACTATGCATGTATATGTTTGTATATCTAATTTTACCTTTAATGACGTAAAATTTGTTACCAACAAAAACCATAATTGACGGCGAAAGTTTTTGTTATTTATAATAATAAAAAAGTTTAAACGGATATGCGTATGTGTGTGCGTGTGTGTGTATGTATGCGTAAACGTATGTACATGTGCGTAAACGAATGTTTTTATGTGTGATCTAGACATTTAAATTCGATCATAACACGTAAACACACACATAAAAAAGCAGTAAACTTTAACTTAACTACCTCCAAACTTTGCAGCGTCCACCTCAACTCCTCCGCTATTACGCCAACAATAATGCACTTAATTTGCATTCAGGTTTTACGATAACAAATGATCCTCATGAAGAAATCCTCTTCTGATATTTCACGATTAGGCATTCTTTTCAAAATCGCCTCCACATAGAAACAAGCCGCGTTAAGTGTAACAAATGCCTCATCTACTTTCCAATTTATTCCAACCGTTAACAGTTGCCTGACATGTTTGAAAACTTATATTTTATTTGATAAATTTTTGAGAAAATGCAGTTTTATGACATTTTTAAGTAAGATCATTTAACGCTATAAAAAATTTTCATTTCCCATTAACAGAATGACTTTGGATGGAGTTTAGTGATAACACGCTCATATGGTCACAAGCGTAGTAAATGAAACATCCACACACACTCATACACACTCACCCACACACACCCCCACCCACACTCACACACACAACAACCAAATAACTAAACCACTCACACAATCAAGCACGGTTAAAAGACAGAGACAAAGACCAAACACGGATATTAGACACAAACACATGACCTGACGTCCTAAAAATGTTGGCAAAATGTTTGAAGTGAATTTTTATGCAATTGCACCCTTAAATCTCAATAACATCCTTTCTGTTGCACGCTCAAAACCCCTTAAGAACCACATTACACCGGATACACCGCACTGAAAAAAAAAACATCTTATTCACCTCAAAATATTTCCATGACCTCAAAGCTCCCACAAAACATTGCAAATGTAAACTTTGGTCTATACGAACAGATATATATATATATATATATGTTGATAATATATATATATATATATATATATATATATATATATATATTACGCATTACCCACACACCCACATATTGTATATATATAAAAATACGGAATAAAAAGGGAGAACTGAGATGAGTGTGATAGGGGAGAGAGAGAGAGAGAGAAAGAGAAAGAGAGAGATAGGAGAGAGAGAGAAAGAGAAAGAGAGAGAGAGAGGAAGGTAGGATGAGTAGCAGCAGCAAACAGAAATGAGAAGGAGAAGGGCACACACGCTGAATTAGGCAGACGGAACTTGCTGGTTGATGAGCTAATTGCGTGATTGTTCAAATGGCTGCTGGCATTGCAAATTAATTTAGCTAAAGTGGACTTTGCACAAGCATCAACATGTTCAATGTTCATATGCAGTGCTGTTATTTATTATGCATGTTAGTTGTTAGTTGCAGGACGTTTAAATGTTATAGCGCCCAATACATCCTCATGTTTACTTTTTAATACGCAAACAAACTTTTCATGTTTAATTCAACGCTTGTGGGCTTGCTCGTGTGTTTTGTGGTGCGCGCTGAAGATGAGGTGCAGTTGAAGTAATGCCGCCGACCTGCATTCATGTGGCTTCTTACATTCACTAAACATCGAGGGTGCCTGGTGCTTCTAGTGTTTCATCGTTCATATATACCTATATGTCTATCTGTGTCTGTGAATATATGCGTGTATGTGTGTACGTGTATGTGTATGCGTGTATTTGCATGTATGTGATTCAGTGTATCTGTGTACGTGTATGTGCGTAACGTGTATGTGCGTGTGTGTGATTCAGTTTATGTGTGTATACTTGGTTATGAATATGAAATAAATAAATAAATATATATATATATATATATATATATATATATATATATATATACAAATATATATATATAAACAAATAAGTGAACAGTTAGTTGAAAAAAATATTTGTTAACTGACTCGTTTATGATTTATGGATCGTTATTCAAAAACTTAAATATGTGAGCAGACGGAATAATAGAGAGGTGGTTGTGAAAGTTTCCATCTGTGAATGCGTTTGTGTTTCGCACATTCACAAGAGCTTTTGCAATGTATTTCATCATCTATGTACCAACAACATGTTTCAATACGTGCTGGTGTATAGAGAGAGGTTTGCACGTGTTGTTTCTTTGTGCAACAACATGCCTGCACACGTCTCTGCTTACATCCGCTGGTGTTGTATGTACATGTACAGGCAGCCTCACGTGCTCCTCCATGCAAGGCCGACACGCCTTATGAGTTTATGATGTAGAGGAGTCAATGGGTTGTATTTAAAAGAATTCTCCCACCAGCGTTATCCGCGGCGGTCATTTATTTTCCATCACCAGTTTTTTTGTTTCATGGTGAGTTGTACGCCCGACCAAACTGGATTAGATTTATTTTGAAAAGTTAAAATGGCAACTGACGTTTGGTTTCAAACTTATCTAGCCCACTTATGGTTGTGCTAGTTGTAGCACCAGCTTGCATTTTTAACATGTGCTCAATAAATACGCCTACCTTTTAAAAGATTGTAAGAACGTAAGCTAAATTAACACTTTGAAGATTGCGAAACTTCACTCGTAAACATTTTAAGAAGCTTATTTATTGTTGGAGGAGTTACAAAGTTTAACGAACTGTTGCAACATCAAATGCTTGTTCAAATGTTTGTGAATGAACGGTTTTTGAATAGGTATGTCTTTTTCAATAAAGGCGTTTAATCATATCCCATTACGTTACATAGCATAGAATCACACCACTTTCACATCACATCATACCCCATCTCATAACATTACATTGCAACACATCCACATCTCATGACATTACATTGCAACACATCCACATCTCATGACATTACATTGCAACACATCCACATCTCATAACATCACATGCACTGGTAGGAGATATTCAATGTTTGTTCTGCTGCCACGGCAAACATTCAAACCAAACAAAAACATGTGTCGGCACCGGCTGCCTATTTATCAGATTTCATATTTTTGTCATGGAAAAAAAAACATTAACCTATATGACATCACGATCACGTGACGTCATGATCACATGACCACATGGCGTCATGATCATATGGTTAAGTAGCAACAGTATTGCTTGAGTTTTTAGAATGTATAATCTGTATATTATAATTGTACATAATTAAATAATTTACAAGCCATCTATCAAAGTCAGGAGCCTATAATCAAAAAATTTCGAGTTAACATAATCTTGTGAACGGATTAAATAAAACACGTCCTTGTATTGTTCGGCAAGAAAAAAATTGTAAAAATTCTGGCAAGGCAACATTTTTTTTGGAAATTACAGAAGCGAAATCCACATTAAGCCTCATGTAAATTCATTCACAAAGTTAATTTGAGAGAGTTAAATGTTATCAGCAAACTGCCGGAGCAATTGCGAGGTGGTTCATAAAGGCAGGTGCCGACCCGGCCAGCGTCTGACGTGTGAGTGTGCACATTATATATTCAGGATTGTTGATGGCTTTGTGGAGGCTGGCTTTCCAAGTGTTGGCTTGTCTGTCTGCGAGGATTTCTTCGATTTTAATCTAAAAATTACGCAAGCGTCTAATTAAAGGCAACGAATTGACAACCGAAAATGAATAAGTTTTGTATTTTCCACCATGTTTCATGATTGAAGATTGATTTGTAGGTTCGTATTCATTGAACGGTTGGTTAATTAAATTTGTAACAATGGCGACATTTTGATGAAAAAAATACTATGTTTGTTTGTTTGTTGTCTGAACGTGGAAACGGTAATGTGCGACAGTCATTCTGTACGAATCATTTTAATTTTTAAAAACTAATTTGCGCAACAAAAATAATGACATCAAAACAAATTTAATAAAAATGGCAAAAAGTAAATAATTAAAAAGAATTGATGATGATAATCAAAATATTAACTCGTCAAATAATAAATTTTTCTTAATTACGTTGGTTGAAAAAAAAACTTAACTACATAATGATAATTTGATAAGGAATCATATTGACCAAAACTTACTGCTCCAGCCCAAATAACAGCAAGCCAACTCAGAGCTAAGGAAAACTAAACTGGTAACTTGCTGTGAAAACTAACTACAACCGCATCCATGTTGCCACTGTAAATCAGCATTTACAAACACAAATTCATAACAATTAGATCTGTCAACAACAAAAAAATGTCGAAAACAATGAGAAATTTGTAATGAAAAACACAGCGTGATCAGCAAAATAATTTATTTGTCATTTGTTAAGGAAAGTAACGGCATATCTGGTAACTGTGGAGAGAACCTTTATGAACAGGCTCAAACACGTGAACAACATTAAACAGATGAACAATATTAATAACAGCGTGTAACCCTCAATAGTATTGACAGGATTGACGGAAATGCAGTAAATTAGAAAGCGAACAACAAGAAGAACACCACCAACAAAAACAACAACAACAACAAAAACAAAAACACAACCAACAGCAAAAAAAAAACAACACAACAACAACGCCACCAACAAAACCAACAACTACATCAACAACACAAACAACAACAACAACACAAGCAGAAACAGCTGCAACAGCAACAACAACACAAACAACAACAACACAAGAATGGACCACGCAACTAAAAAAAACAACAACGACGTAGAAATTGATTATCTCGGCATTGCAACATTAATTTCAACTCTCAAAGTGATAACAAAACAAAAAGACATACATCTAGGCTTGTGAATACGCAGTTATATATGCATATACAAACAATATAAGAAAACAAGAGCTTATACATCAATGAATCTAAACATACAACTCAGCAGCTACACATAAAATACAATTCTTCGGACAAGGAAACTCTAATGTATACAATATATTCTGTAACACAACTTAACAAAAATTTGTTAAAAAATGCTTTTTAGAAAAAAAAGTTTAATAAATTTCAATACATTTTAATGTTAAATATAGAAAATGAAATTTAAGCAAATAGAATGCAAAATCACGCGCATATAAGCATAACAATAAACAAGCAATCAAATTTACATACAAAAAAACATACAAACAACGTACATACACAAAACATACATACAAACAGACAAACATACATTCAAACAAACAAACAAGCAAAACAACCAAATGAGAACTGTTGAAGCAAATAAAGGAAAAGAACAATTGAGCAGAAAGTAAGTGATAAACATAGAAAATCAACGATGCTCATCCAACAATCGCTGATTTACCGGTCGATAATTGTTTGTTTCCATGCACAAATCTTCCATTAACACAAATCTTTATCACACAAATGCATCGACAAATCACTTGAATGCATGGAAAATTCCCATTCATGCATCAATATATGTAATTTGTTCAGTGCATTAATGTTTAATTCACCAACAAAACACAAAAATGTACCAACAATTCACATAAACGCACACATCTACGCAGAAATTGTTTTCCAACGCTCGATCGTTGCTCGTATCGGTTGGAAGACAGACGAAGCTGTTGGCCTGCACCAAATCTGCAAGCATCTAAAACGTCCAAGAAACGAGCAACGAAGAATTTTATTAAATTTATGTTTTAAATACATTTTCCAGATTAAAAAGTAACAAGGCAGTATGACAAAAAAATAATTGAGAAGATCAACTGCAACCTAATCATGTTGAACAATTTTAAGATTAGATGGAGTGATATGTTATTTTGAATCAAATGATGCTGCCAATTATTTGTTTTGAAAAATTTTTAAATCTTGCTGGAAGGTGGCACACAAACTTTGTTTACCTGCAATTTGGTTGTTTTCAAAATTTTTGAAAAAGATGAATATATTAGAATATGTTATATTTTTATAAATATGCATGCAAATGAAAACGCCTTGTTTCAAATGCCACATAACTTGTCAGCGAATATTTATTTGTAAGTCAAATTGTTAATCTTTATGGCGGTCAAAATTCAATTTCTATATTTAAAAAAAGCCATTTGCAAGGAGCAAGATATTCCAACCACTATTTACATTTTCGGTTTTACTATACAGTAAATTTTTTGTGGACATTTCATAAAAAAAACTATTTGTCACTTTCTCAACATTCAGTTACTTAGGTATAACCAAATGACTTTTAAAAAAATTGAATTGCACATCTACTAAAAAAAAAACACAAAATCCAATGAAAATTGCACAAAGAAGATACAAACAACATTCAACTAACTAACAACAACAACAACAGTATTAAGCGCACAACGTACAACATGCAAGCAACAACAGCAGCAGCATGAAGCCACACGGAATGAACGTTCGACGGTGTAGCGAGGAAATCGTCGCCTGCCTCTTCGTGTCGATCTGCTCCGAGAAAATTTACCGCGGCATATGTAAATAGAAGAAGGATGGAAAATAATATAACATTTGCATAGTTAATCCTTCATTTAATGCTCTAGTTCTTTTTTCAGAATTTGCTAGTGTTGCTACACCAGAACCGCACAACTTGTTCATGCTGATATGATACTATGTGATACTATCTTACCATAAAAATGATTTGTCAAATATGTAAAGATGTATCGTATGCAAAACTCTAACATTACGGAGAATTTTGATTGGGGGAGGGTTGACACATCCATCCATCCATTCATCCATCCATCCATCCATCCATCCATCCATCCATCCATCCATCCATCCATCCATCCATCCATTCATCCATCCGTCCATCCATAAGGGCACACGTGCAGATGTGTGTGTTTATTTTGTTTGGCTTCGCTTCAACCGATCCCATGCTTTGGGTTTCATTTGATTATTGCCTCATGTATCATTAGCCGGTGATAAGGTGGAAAATAAAAACGTAAATAATAATCATAGTGAAAGTATTGTGGCGGGTGGCCCAAGCAGTAAATTATTTGTCATGAAAACAACGTACCTAAATAAAACACGTCACATTGGTAAATACTAACTTTTTCAGATTCTATTTCTATTTTTATTTATAAGAGAATAGTTTGAAAATTTTCAACTTTTAAATAATTTACAGTTGAAATCAAATACAAGTTTAAAAATTTAATGCTCAACTGCTTCTTGCGAAATAATTGTTGACCCGACCTCCAACTTTTGTTATCAGGTGCATTCAATAACTCCATTGCCTTTAACAAACAATTTTTCTACAAGCTTTATCGGGCTTCATCTCAAATTTTCAAAGCACGTTGCCAGAAAGTTTTATCAGCAACCAAGTGTTTCCTACTTTCATCTTCATTGAAGGATACTTTTATTTGCCTACACATATTTTTCCAGGAAGCGTAGCATAATATATTTCTTGGTCAAGTTGAGGTAAGAAATTGAAGAGAAGTTTACTGAACTTTTAATCTAATATAGGGAAAAAATTAAAAAAGAAAGTTATTGAACTTGAAATGTTTTCTATCATCTGTCTGATGATAGAATGATAATTGTAATTGAAATAACTTCCCAAATGAAAGTGACGTTAGCAAAGTTTAAAAAGTTTTTGAGCAGTTTTATCGATGCACACTATCAAATCAATGGAATGATGGGATTTTAAAGAAATTGGCATGTTTGAAAATTATTAATTAACTAAAGGTAATAAATATCTTATTACAAAAATAAATTAATTAATAAATGAATTAATAGACGAATGGGCTAAAACTTTTTTCGTTTTTGTAATTGCTAGATTTTTTTTATATATTTAGTTAATGTTTGATTGGCTAATCTTTATCCTTAAAATTTTTAGTTAAAATTTAGCTCATTTTTCACTCCGTTCGTACGTAATTGTCTTCATGCATGTACGTATGTGCATGTGAATATATGCATGTTTGTATGCTCATGCTTGCATGTTGGTACGCTCCTGCGTGCATACAAGTTTGTATGCTCACGCATGAATGCATGTTTGTATGCTTATGCATGTACGTTGAAACGCATGCGGATGCATTATGTGGGCATAACACGCGCACACATTTAATGATAAGAAGCAAAAGGAAAGCAAATAATGGGGCATTACGTTTTATGCGCTTGTTAATCGGCTTTCATTACATCGGCAAAATTCCATTAGAAACCCAAGGTATGTGCGTGTGTCTGTTTATATGTGTTTGTGTGCGTGTGTTTATATGTGAATGTGTGTGTTTATAGTGTTTGTAGGTATGTGCATAAATTTATTTGTGTTTATACGTACGTGTGTGAGTGTGTGTGAACGCTGGTGCTTGAAGGAGCAATGTATTTACATTTTACATGCGTGTATTTGGAAGAAATTTTGAAAATAAACAATTGCAATTTTTTGTTCAACTTCAAAACCATCACTACTTGCGATCAATTTGTTAGCATTAAAAATTTACTTTGCTATAAATAAAATCCAGAAAGGATTTCCTTTATAGCAACTTCTCCTTCGTTAGTACGAAAGTTTCTTCTATTTTGTCTGAAAATTTCAAGAATCAACTACACTCTAATTCAAACTTTCATCATCGTCGCAATTATCATTATCATTCCGATTATTAATCCGATTATTATTTTGATTATTATTATTCTGATTGTTATTCTGATTATTATAGTTGTTATGTTTTTGTTGCAATAATTATTTATTTTATTGTTGACGTAGTACGAGGCAATTATCATGATGGCTGCAATGAAGATGGCGTGCGCTGCGATTAATACAAAGCAATTTGCATTAACTTAATTGCATTTTCATACCTGTTTGGTAGAAATTTTATTAGGCTCAGTAAGATATCACATTACTAGCATCGTTACAGCTGATACTGCCGACAGGATTCATTCCTACCGCTATTAATCGAATTACTTTTTCGCGCTAGTAACTTCAATTTACGACGGTAATGTTTATAATTATGTTTTTTTTTTTTTTTGCTATTATAGAAGGAACCTCAAAAACGATTACGTTACTTATGTCTATAATGAATAGTAGTCGTTCAAGTAATCCTAACGTAAAAGTAATTTTTTTTTGTTGCATTAAAATAAAAATCAAGTGGGATAATCATTGTATTATTACTAATTATAGTATTCCTACTGCTATATCCATTATTGCTTCAACAGCCTATAATATCATATAATATATGATATTATATTTGCAACAACAACAACTACTACTACTATTACTACTACTACTACTACTACACTACTACTACTACTACCGCCACCATAA